TTTTTTCTTTTTTTTTCTAAAGTTCTTGAGGTGTGTCATTTTTCAGTGTTCAGTGTGTATTGATTTAAAAAGCCTGGTGTCCTTCAACTTAAACCCACTAATATGGTTACAAATCTTTGAATGCACTGCAGTATTTTAATAGAATACAACATGTCCTCAAGTATATTGGAGTTTTCACTGATTTTATAAAATCTTCAGAATTTAAGAGCCTAGCAGTTGAAAGTCAATTATTACATTTTCCAAGAGCTTCTGTTTGCCAATATATAGGTGAAAATGACAATATTTATAAAGTGCTGAGAGAGCCTTAAAGAAGATGATGGTATATAGAGAAAAAACCATGTTTAACAGATGAACCCAGCATAGTGACCCAAAGGTCAAAAGACATACTCAATAAAAGTTCATGTGTGACAGCTTCTAGCTACTCTACATGTCTATGTAAGATTTATAAGGACTTGAGTTTGCTGGGACAGTAGAAGGAAAATGTAATCACCATTAGCCTGTCTCATGTCTGACCTATCTATTAGAAGATACTATAATTAGAAGATCTTAGGAATTCTTAATGTGCAGCCATCACCCGATCAAATGACTCAGAGGTAGTATATTTTAAAGCTACTGAAGGATTGCAAATTGTGTTTTGTTTTAATTTTTTCCTCTTTTTATTAATCACTTTAAAATTAAGAAATATTGCAAACATATAAAAAGCCACACAGAAAAAGAAAACAGGCACTCTCTGTTCTCACTACCCAGATGGAACACATGGGATTAAGCTTATTTACATTTAATTTCTTTGTTACTTTCATCTGCATCTTTGTGTAGAGGATGTCAAGGCTTTTGGCAACCTGACCGCAAAGAGGCTGTGATTAATAGAGTAGAGACACATAGAAGCAACTGGTGACTAAGAGCTGCTGATTCTGACATCTCAATAATAAATCTATTGTGTTAGTGAGAAGGTTGTATTCTTTAGAACTTCACAAAAATAAGCAAGGAGGTGACAATTTAGTACAAAAGTGGTTATCTCCCTTTCAGCCCTCTACTGGGCTTAAAGTTCTCAAGGGGGATTGTGTGGATCTGCAAACAAATCCAGGGACTGAGAGCTGGTCAACAAAGTCAGCCCAACCGACACTTCCCTACAGGAGAAATACAACTCCTTGTGGGTTGAACTTTGCCATCCCAGGTCATGCTTCTGGATGTCTGTAAGAGTTACTATCCAGTCATTAAATGCTTATGATGCATCCTGAGAGCCATTATCCCAGAAGCCATACTAGTTTCCCTGCTGACAGCAGGTGTCTTTTATCTTTGACCTGGATTTTTTGGTTCCTTCTTGTATTTCTATTCCTTAAAGAGCTGGGGAAGCATGCTGGATGAGTGGGCAAGAGCATTTAAAGATTATTTTGTTCAAAGCATTGGTATTTCCATTTTTCAGGTTAAAAAAAATGCAGGTACACAGTATAAATCCCTTTCCTATCCAACAAATCTGGAGTTAGCAAAACAGTTAGAATTTTCTCACAGTTACCCTTAAATATGGGTGAGAATTGCAAACAGAGAGGGGGAAAATGTTTGAAAATGGACATTTACTGTCACTTTTATATAATAGAGTGTTTAAAAGAGAATATGATTGCTCATTTTTATGATGAAGCAGTATTATATACACCTATTAAAGAAATGTCATTGAGCAAATACTCTGAATATATGTTTATTCATTAGCAAAATAATTTAAACACTTACTCTGTGATAGGGGTGAAGCAATAAACCAAATGTAGTCCCTGGTGTTATATTCATGATCTTTGATATATTTCCTTATCTATGTCGAATCAATACCATTTTTACTATTCATGGCTGACCCTCTCAAAATATACAAATATAGGCAAGGAAAATTTAATAAGCACCATAAATATATAAGAATACATTAAAATAAAAAAATAGTGGGTCTCTGTTCACTACAACTAGAAATCTGCTAAAAAACATAAAGGCTAGATATGTGACTTTAAAAATTATAAATCGAGAGTCATGAGAAAGATGAGGAAACAACTTGTCTTTCTAAATTCATTTAAAAATCTCTTACTCTTTGATAATGCCAGATGCACATTTTCTCACAGGAATTCTACTGTACATGAATACAGAATTCATTATTACATTAGGAGGAAACATCAATTTTTCAACCATTCATATTAACACCTCCATCTATATTTACAAAATGACCTGAGGATATTTGCATTAAAAATAAGACATATCTAAGTAAATCTGTCTTCACATCTGCAGATACCTGAAATCATCCAATAGGTAGCTAAAATATTATTTTTATTATTCAGCAGTGATACTCAAATAACAGAAGTACCATATACAAAACATAACTTTAGGGCTTACCCCGTGGCTGACTCGGGAGAGTGCGGCGTTGGGAGTGCCAAGGCCGCGGGTTTGAATCCTATACAGGGATGGCTGGTGCGCTCACTGGCTGAGCGTGGTGCAGGCGACACCATGCTGAGGGTTGCGATCCCCTTACCAGTCACACACACACACACACACACACACACAAAATATATATATATTTAAGAGCAATTATAGACATACTTGTTACTAGAGAGTCATTATATAAAGCATTATTTTCTTAAAAGAAAACTCTGATCATTTCACTTCTTTGCTAATTACTAAATCTTTTGGTAGTTCTTCATTGTATACTTAATAATATACAGACACTTTGGCCTGGTATTAAAGCTTTCCTTGATCTTACCCCAATTTACTTTTATTACATTTTCCTCCACTTCTTTAATTGATCCCAGTCTTCATCTAAACCAAATTTGTCCTGGTTCTCTCTACACGTTCTGGATTGTTCCACCCATTGTGCTTTTCCCCTAGGTTCCAGCACCTAGATTATTTCCTGAACCAATCTCTACATATGGAGTCTGACCCCACCTATCACTTCAAAGACTTAGTATTAAATCTCACTCTTCAGTGAAGCCTTCCTCATTTTCCATCATAGGGAAATTTCAGAGGAGATTCTAACTCCTTGGCTCTTTATCTATACCTTTTGAAAGACTTTTGTCAGTTTTATCGTATATTTTTTATTATTCATTAACTGTTAAACATGCATTTATTAAATACCTGATAGGCAGGGTGTTAGTGACATATCTTGGGTAGGTGCTGGGTGAAGGGAATAAAGGAATGAATTTTCTGATGAAAATTAGGAACTGTTGGAAAACCAACTAAAAGTTTTTGTGCTTTTTATTACCATCCCATAACAGCAATTCTGAACAGTATCAGTGACAATATACTACTGCTAGAAAAATCATTTGTTAGTCCACTTTTATATGAGTTCTGTGTTTACCATTGTGTTATCATGTATTTGTGTGTGTGTGTGTGTGTGTGTGTGTGTATACACACACACATGTATACATATAGTCAGCCCCCAAAACACAGGAACTCAGTTACACACATGTTCCAAGAGTAAGTTTATAATGATTTGAAATCATTTAAAATTTAAAACAATGAAACATAGTGTGAACTGTGAGGTCTGATGTTTTGTTTGTTAAGTGCAAGTTTTTTAGTTCATACATGAAATATTTTATTAAATTTTAATGCTTTTAAATTTCAAAATAATTCTTTTTTTTGAAGTGTTGTTTGTTATAAGCCTGAAGAACAAATTTTTAAAAAATCCATATTCCTGATTTTTATGGAGCCAGTACTGAAAATTATTCTGTTGTTTAGCAAAGCAGAATGTAAAAAATGATTCACTCTGGGTGTCACATACACCCTTGATGTTAGGTGCTAAGGCTATAAAGATACCTATGGTCTCCGGTCTCTCTTCTCTCCCCCTCTCTCCCTTTCTTCAAGGATGGGAAGTGTTTATAGGAGTATGACTTTGAATTCTCTTGTTTGGAGTAGTCATTTAGATGCTTTTCTCTATTTTAGTTTAATTTCAGAGATGAAGCCTGAAGCAGATAGCTCCTAGATAAACTTTACGGTTAATTTTTCATTAACTTTACAGAACATAGACTGACCAAAGGATAAAAAAGTTTTATGTAATTCATATGTAAATGTAAACAGATTAATGACAAAAGTGGCTCCAAAAGTAATTTTTGAAAGTCAAAATTAAGTACTTCATATATCTATTCCATGAATCAGTCTCATTTTATGTCTTATAAAAAAATCAAGGCTAGTTGAGTTGGTTAAATAAAGAAATTACATTAATTTACTGTTCACGGGGACATAATTTTAAGGAAGAAGTATATATTTTATGCTGATGTTGAATAGCATAATGCTGTTTATTCTACTTAATTGATTTAAATGTGTATGTTTTGATAAATGTCTAGAGAACATTTTTAATGAAATATTTTACAGTAAGAATAAAGTATAAAAATATAGATTAATATTTTAAATGTTTTTTTTTATGTGTATGCTATTATGTATATGTGTATGTTGCCTTAATGTTTAATTAGTAGAGCACTAAATTTGGAAAAGACTATTTTAAAGTCTATACAGAGGCATATTTCTAATGGATGCAAATATTTGTTCTCAGTAATATAAATAGTACACAAATCAGTGCTAGGTTTTGTTGAACTCAAGTTGCCTGGCACTATGCTAAGCACTTTACACCAGTTTTTCCATTTAATCATCAAAATAACTATATTTCAAGGCATGAGTCATATTTTAGCGATAAGAAAACAGAGACTTGGAAAATTAAATCGTCTTTTGTGGGTCATGGAGCAAAAAGCTGGCAGGGATAAGATTTGATTCCAAGCCTGCCTTACTTACTGTAGTCTTTCACACCTCTACCCAGTCCTTAGAACTAAATTGCTTGCATTGAATTTATTTAACCATGAGAAAAGCATTCAAGGTTGAGGGACAAAACTGCCTTTTCTCTTATTTGAAAGTTCAAGGACTAGGCTCTGTGTCTTTGTAAACAATGACATTAGTATGATGCTACTGGTAATAGCTACCAGTTTTAGTTGGTGATAGAATCATGTTGCTAAAACTTTATGTTTATTTTTTTTCCTATTTTTCAGAATGATGTCGGAGGACAACGCAGCCTGATAAACAAATGGACAACTTTTCTTAAGGCCAGGTTGATTTGCTCAATTCCTGGAAGTGATGGGGCAGACACTCATTTTGATGAGCTTCGTAAGTCACATATTCCTTCTTTCTTGAAAAAGTCTTACAGCCTAATTAATTCAGTATTTATTTTATTTTAGCCCCAAATGCCTGATTATATATAGTCCAGCATGGCTTGTAAGAGTAGTTCTTATTAAATTCACACACACAAAGAACATGGAGGTGTTCTAGGGTTGGGCACACATTGTATCAAAATAACTCAAAGTCAGTGGAGGAAACCAAACCACAACAAGAGACCAAAGATATGGGCTCTGCGACTGCCAAGTGGTCCATCCATTCTCCATGCAGTCTTTCACTTTGGAAGGAGACATTTTCTATATGGAGGAAGAACTTGGTTCCTTATTCCGTGATGCCCTCTGCTGGAGAATACAGGAGATTTGGTGAACTCTGTCCCTCTGACATGTTAATAAAAGGAATACTCAGAAGCAATAGACAGATTCTCCTTTTTCATTTCTCCTCTTCACTCCCCCCAAAGCTAATTCTAGAACGATTTTTTTGGTTGTACATAAAGTTTGCATTATTAGCTTTTATCTGCTCAAACTTGTTTTTGTTTTTGCAATGCAATATAAAAATGATTATCTATATCATTGAATGATTTCATCAGTATTGTGTGTCTTACAGCATTAAAGTATATATTCAGTATTCATGACTGGCCTGTCATGTTGTATATAAGCACAGTCACATTTTAAGTAATCTTTTAAAGAATAGTATTTTCACATAATTTACTATCAACACAGCACCAATTACTAGTGTAGCTATTTTCCTATTGTTATCAAAAAGGTAATTGAATTACCAATAAGTTGACACAATTTACAGGACAACACTTTTTAAACTGGAAGATAAAAATTACCTGGTTTTTGATTTTTATTTTATATGAAATTATATGAGGTCACCTCAAAAAGTTTATGGAAAAATAGAATTAAAAGATAAAAGGAGTCTTTCTATGAGCTTTTTGAGGTACCCACATATACTCCTAATTGGAAACTGTGTGGGGATTATCAATTGGACCATCCCATTTATAGGTGATTGAAGTAAACACTTAAGAGATTAAATGTCCAACTCAATGTCCCATAGCTAGTGAGAAAATCCACCTTTTACCCTTAATTTCTTAGTCATAGTATGGTGATTTTGTTATCTTAATTTTCTATACTGCTTAGAGTTTCAGAAATATTGCATTATTAAAGATAAAAATAAATAATCATCTTTTCCCATTAATAGAAGATATTTATTTACTCCCCACAAGAGATGAGAGAAATCCTGTAGTATACGGAGTCTTTACCACAACAAGGTATGTTCAACAAAATGCTTTTAACCCTTCTGGAAAACTTTTATGTGTATTAAGTTCTGTGTCCCTTCCTTTGTAGTGGCATGTCATACACATATTTTCATTTTGCTTTTTCACACAGCATTTCTTAGAAATCTGTTCATATTAATATAAAAACTCTCCTTGCTCTTTTTACACCAGCATAATACCCCCTATATTGATTACCACAATTTATTTAACCAGTCCCCTGTACATGGACATTTCTGTTGTTTCCAGTCCTTTGCAGCTGCATATCATGCTTTAATGACTAACCTGGTGCACATGACATTCCGCATATGAACATGCATATCTGCGAGACAAGTTCCCAGGGTAAAATTGCTGGGCATAAAGGCATATGTATATATCAATTATAGTAAATACTTTCAAACCACGTGTCATAGAAGTAGTACTAAAGAAATACATGCATAATGATTAAGTTCATTGGTGAGGCTGTAGTCATGAGATGGGACACTCTTGGCTCTTAAAATGTTGTCACGTGCTATCTTATTTGCACTTCCCTATTACCCTATGAAGATGGAAGTGTGATTGTTATGACCATTTCACTGCTCTACTCATTTAGGCAAAGAAGGTTTGTATTATTTGCTCAAAGAAGAGCAGCCAACTAGTAGTAAAATGGGACTAGAAGTGAAGATGTTTTCCTGGTTTCTACCCTGTATCCTTGTCTTCTTTTTGCGTGATGCTGTCCTGCATAAGTCACTGAGATATTGTTACTTCCTTAAAAGTTGTAGTAGCATCTATAAAGCTTTCTCAACGAATATGTGGGCCTTACTGTCTTAATTTTATCGGTAACATATACTTGACTGTGTTCAAAGCACATCTTTACTTCTGTTACATATTACTGCCTGTATTCTTGGAAGTTCTTTTCACTTTTTCAACAGCTCTGTTTTCAATTTTTGTCAATGAATATTGATACTACTATTGGAGGAATTAGTGCTATTGTTATGGAAGAAATGGTCTTACTGCCTCCTTTTGAATGAATTTTTAAACTAGTTTGTATGCAAATTATTGTTTAAGTTCCTTCCTGTGGCATATGCTTTATTTAGTATAAATAAATACCTTATTTATAAACTGAAATGTACTATTTGTTCAGAATATAGCAGAAAACACAATACTATTTGATTAATTATAAAATACAGAATGTGAATATTTAAATATGAGAATAAAGAAGATACCTTGAGAAGCTGCTGTCTTGGACTCCATTTTTCTGTTCATGTGTATTTAAATATAAAAAGGTGCAAGAAGAACAAGTTCCTGTAGTTTCTGAAGTTAAGTATCTCAGCCCTAGTTCTCTTGGCACCTTTCCATTCACGGAACTTTCTTTGAAGTCACTGTGTGTTCCACACACAAGGCACAGAGATGTGCCAGGAAAACGTAGCCCCAAGATAGTTCTTTTTTTCCCCTACCAAGTTTCTGCCCACCCAGAGTGTGAAGTTACAAGTCGGCTCTTTGTACTTTATGGTTTTATTTTTAATGCTGCCCTGAAGACTAAGGTAATGTTGAAATGCACGTCACATCCTTTGTGCATTGAAAAGATGTAATTAAGCTACAGTAATGGTAACGCCACTAAGCATGATGCTTCATTCCTTTAAAATATCATAAACATATGACGTTATTTTTATGGGAACGTCACCTCCCTTCTTAGCAGCTGGTTTTCTCCCAGCCGCCTACTTATCATTACCTCCCAATGTTTCCCATTAATGTCATTCCAGGAATATTAATAATTGAGTTACTCATCCTAGGGAATCATTAGCTCATTTGTGTAATGCTGAGATGATATGTCTCTTAGATCATAAAGGGAGATATTGTTTTTAAGAACAGGAATCATTGAAAATTTTAGACTCAAAAAACAAAAAAGTATTTTAATTTCCAGAAATGAGATAAAAAGAAATATCTGATTAGTGTTAACATTTTTCATTATTATTTTGCAAAAATTTGTTCAGTTCCACTAAATGTCCACTGAATGAATCAGTGAGTGACTGAATTGTGTTGCTCTCTTTCAGCTCCATATTCAAAGGTTCTGCTGTTTGTGTGTATAGCATGGCTGACATCAGAGCGGTTTTTAATGGCCCATATGCTCACAAGGAAAGTGCAGACCATCGTTGGGTGCAGTATGATGGAAGGATTCCTTATCCCAGACCTGGTACGGTATGTATCCAACCTAATAACTAAATTATTTTCCTAACCTCATATTCAATTTCTAATTCTATTGTAACAATAGAATGCTGTTCACTGTAGCAACATGTGTTGTTGATTTTTAAATAACTTATTTGTTTATAGTGATGTGTTAATATTTCCATCCTTCATTGGAACTTAATATTTTTCTTTTGAATGAGAATTTTAGGTACCATGGGAAATAACAGACTATATCATACGGAGCAAACTATGCTGACAATATAGAGCTTATTCCCACCATGTCTACAGAATCATCAAAATGACTTAGTTGTCTAGAATGACAAATACCCTAAGTTAGATGTAAATGCCAAATAAGTGTTTATTTCCCACATACAGCTCTGCATCTAGCTAGAGAGTCTTCTAATCTCCACTTCTACTTTAAAAGGATCCATCAGTTATAATGTTTCATTTAAATTATCTCTTTTCTTGTTACACACTTATCTTTTTGTGGCACTTTGGAATAATATGAATTTTTAATATGAGAAAGAGATTTTAGAGAACCCTAAGTTCAAAATTATTTTCAAATAGTATAAACCATGTTTAAAACACAGATGAAACAATAAGAAGCATGTTTTGGAGTTTATGCATTTGTTTAAAAAGAAAAATAACTGCAGTTTAAAAGGCTGCACATGCATTATAAATAGAAGGCTTTTTTTTTCCATTTGTTGATATCATTAAAATAGTTTTATTTAAATAATTCATGATGAGTGAATTGACTTAATACTACAGAGGAAAAATATTTATATTTTTTTAAATTCAGGATTTATTCTGAATATTTCTACCAATAGGCCTAAAATAATTATCAAATTCTACTGAATATTGTATTTTCATATCTTCATTTTAAAAGAGAAAATAGCTGGAAGCTGTGCTTTCTGAATTCTCTTCCATATATCTTAATTAAATTTCGGAAGCACACCATACAACTATCTTGATTTTCCCATTTATAATTCTTTAATATAAATTTGTTTTAGGAATATTTTCTGGCCTAATTGTAAGGTGATCATTATTTTTGCAGAAACTTTTTTTTTACATAATTTTCAGGATTCGCTTTTTTGTTTTCTCTTTTTTATATTGTGAAATGAACGCTTAACATGAGATCTACCCTCTTAAATTGTTAAGTGTACAGTACATTATTATTAACTCTAGATACGATGCTGTACCACAGATCTCCAGAGCTTTTTCATATTGTTTGACTAAAACTTTATGCTCATGGCATAGTAATTCCCCATTTTCCCTTTTCCCTAGCCCCTGGCAATCACCATTCCACTCTTTGATTCTATAAATTTTACTGTTTTTAGATAATTCATATGAGTGGAATCATGCAGTATTTGTCTTTCTGTGAATGGCTTATTTCACGTAGCATGATGTCATCAAGGTTCATTCACATTGTTGCATAGTGTAGAATTTCCTTCTTTTTAAGGCTGAATAGAATTACATTGTGTGTGTGTGTGACATATGTACAGCACATTTTTTTTTATCCATTCATCTATCAATAGACATTTAGGTTGTTTCTGTATCTTAGCTATTGTGAATAGTGCTGTAGTGAACCTAAGTGTGATAGTATATGCCTATGCATAGATAGATATAGATTAGATTTAGATATAGATATATGAGTACTGATAGATATACGAGGGTGATTACAATTTGGAAAAGAGCATTAATTGGGGAAATTTTATTGTATTAATATTTTGGCGTAAAGGATTATTGACTTTTACTTTATGAGCTGAATCTACATGAGTTTGTTTAAAGAAATAAAGACTGTCACCATCAGGCCATTAAAACAATCTTTTTTCAATTATCTAGATGTTATAGGAGAAAGGGGGCTGAAACCATCTACATTAATCACAGCAAATTATTTGCATACATAGACACAGAAGTTGTGTACTATAATACTTAGAAATTGAAAATAATTATCAAAAATGATTACATGCTGATGCATCAAGATGAATTATTTTCCAATTATAGTGTAAGTTAGAGCTTCTGTGGAAGTGATTGCTGCCACCGCTTTCCCTGCTCTTGCCTGAGAGAGGTATGAATGTTACATGAGGCTTAAAGAGAACTCACATTTTACATGACTCTCCTCGCAAGTACACAGCCTCTTCTCTGAAATAGTGACTCCCCCCAAAATAGGAAAACATAAATGTCAGTGAGGAGTGTTTTTCATCAGTGAGAAAAGAAGCATCAAATTATGTTAAACAAATCAATCTCTGCTGCTGAATACTCAAAATACAATGTGTTTTCACTGTAGAAATTTTCTTGAAAGGTTCAAAATTATGGAGCAAATATTCTGTATCCAAACCAACAAAGAAATACTTAACATGTTCTTTTTAACATTTTTTGGAAAGGAAAGAATTATTAGGACAAAGGAAGGGCCATTTAACAGAGGTTTTTTTTTTTTTTAATATATATATTCTTTTTCAACATCAATATTTCTCATGGAATTCCTGTGCTTTCTTACGTGTGTAAACACATGTGCATCCGAAGTCGAGCTTTGAGGATTATCCATAGCTGTACTAGGGCTACAATTGGTAGTGTAGACAGAAAGACAAAGTTTCCTTCTGGAGGACTCCACTAGAAAACTCTCTTTGATCCAGGTAGATTGTGCCCTTTTATAGAATTTAGAGAGATTTAAAAAAATGCTGTTTGCTGTCAAAGTTATTTATTTTGCTTTACAGTTTTGGGTAAAGGGAAAAGAGGTTCTTTCTGGTTGAACTGAATTGAACTTGATTATGTCTGTGCTGTTTTCAGATGAGGAGCAACCACATGAATCAATATAAATTTGTTAGTATGAGACTAATAATATTGAGATATATTCAAGTATTTTTTATTGACCCACCATATCCAATTGGTTCTGCACAAGAAAGTGACAAATACTCCTACTAACAAGTTTGCAGGCTGAGTCTAGAAGGCCACAGTAGACAAAGGTTATCAATTATTTCCAAGTAACTAGTTACTTTCATATTCTTTTTGAAATCACTATGACCAAATTTTTGAAAATGTCTAAAATTATTCATAGATATGTACCCTCCTTAATTCATTATTCTTTAGCCATTTTTTAAAAATCTTATTTTTATTTGTACACAGTGATATTAGTCTGTTTTTCTACATTTTATTTTATATTTGGAATACTGATGTTGAAATTAAGAACTTCATATATCTGATCTGAAAATGTGTTACACAAATATGTTTTTATAAATGAACTTCACCATTTTAAATACTCTACTTTCAGAAAATCATTGAAATTATGTTTCACAGTATATCATGTAACTGCACTTGTAAAATCTGAGAATGTAAGAACTGGAGTGGATGATAGAGACCACATAATTCACCTTTGTTTTACAGAGGAGAAAACGGATGCCCAGAATAATTAAATAATTTTCCCAATATCATATTGCCAAAAACAGCAGAATGAAAAGTGATGTTAACGTTTTCTGGCCAGTCTTCTCTCTCTATTCTTTAATATTCCCTAACATTCATCTGAATGATATATACTGCTGAACTTCCTACCTAAAATTAACTGCATTTATTTTTACATTATCTCCTGACATTCTTTCTTATCCGTTTTTTTAATAAGCAACCTAATTTCAGTAATGTTTGTTTAAATGAGGATGTGATTTTTTTCTCTTTTCTACAAGCTTCCAGCTCAGAAATTTTCGTTAGAAATCACATTTGAACACTTCTCACGGTACAGATGCTGTGATAAGTACTTACATTTCTAAAACAACAGCATAATGTGGGTATTGTTTTCCGATTTTATAGGTAAGGAAAAGCTCAGTGAGGGTAAATGCATGTTCATGGTCTCACAGCTTGTGAAGTGATAAGATTGGGATTAAGCTAGATCTGCCTACCTGTAAACCAAGTCACTAATCTCCATATTGTTCTACCTTCAAAGTAATAAAAACAAACAACCAAACAGAACCTTACACTGTTTCCCCAGGGATTGATCTGTTCTCTGTGCAAGTAACAATGAAGTTTGAAAATGTACTACATTTGTCATTTCTTTTATTGTAATTCAGGGAAACATCTAACTTTAATAAAAACATTGCTGAATAATTTGCTTGCTATGAAATGGTTAGGACCTTTACTGAAAGCCATTTTATGCTTCGGTTAAAATTTTAAAATAGATTATTTAAAAGAAAGAATGCCTTTGCTTTTACATTTTTTGCATCCATATTGCTATTAAGATTGAATTCTAAGTTGTTCTTGCAGTAGAGACTCATGTTGACATTATCGTTCAGTTAATAAACACTACAATTTCCAGCATGTCATGCCTTCTTTAATTTTTTGGTTTTGACAGAATGCTGTATATACTTCCTTGGACAAAAAGTCAAGGCTAAACTCCTAACCTTATGATGATATCACTATTCCACAGTGTTAAGCCTGCAAACTCAAGGATGCACAAGGATACAGTTCCAGAATTCATACTTTAAGGGATTCTTCTGCCCTCTGGTGTCCAAATAAAATGTCTGAACAAACCATATTTTGTACAGGAGGACTTTTTCAATCATTATTGACTTTCTGGATCTTAGTAATAAGAAGGTCCAAGTGAAATGGGAGAGTTCATCATACAGTGAGGGATACAGATCTGATATGGAAATCAAACTGAAGTCAGGCCGAAAATAACAGGCTGCTAGAAAACTCAGAATCTGGGGAAGATTTGTACAGGCAGAGGATTTCAATATTGATATTTGATTTATTATAAAGGGTGTACTGTGTTGTCTTATTCTGTTGATGAGAGATTTTTACAATTTATGCATAAATTTAAAATATTAGTGAATGTTTACTCAAAAGTGAATTTCAGTTTTTAAACCATTCTCTTATCAAAGAGATGAGAATGAATTACTTGTTTTCGAAGTTCCAATATTTTTGAAATGTATGTTTTGCTACTCTTGAATCATTTTCCTACAGTTATTGACAATTTTTAATTGTCCAATTTTGTAAAAATAGCAATTCATTTTTAAGTTCCATTTCCC